GGGGGAATGGGAGAGGTAGAAGCAGGCCCCCCATGGAGCAAGGAGCCCGATGTGGGGCTTGATCCCAGGACTCTGGGATCATGACCGGAGGCGAAGGCAGACACCTAACGACTGAGCCACCCAGGCGCCCCATCCACATTCTTTTTCTTAAGGCAAACCCACCAAACTATAAGCTTTAAGCCCCACAAAACCTGGATCCACCCTAGCTGGAGGCCCGATGGAGAGGGACTCTGAGGAGACAAGGACTCTGTCCACCGGTGTTTTGTTTTGTTTTGTTAGGATTTTATTTATTTATTTGACAGAAAGAGAGAGAGAGAGAGCATAAGCAGGGGGAAGGGAAGGCAGAGGGAGAGGGAGAAGCAGGCTCCCCAGTGAGCAAGGAGCCTGATGGGATGCGGGGCTGGGTGCGGGGCTAGATCCCAGGGTCCTGGGATCATGACCTGAGCCGAAGGCAGACGCTTAGCCTACTGAGCCACCAGCCGTCCCAGTGGTGTTTTTAAATAGAAATACTGTGCTCTGTGTAACATAACCCTCTTCTTTCCTATTTCCCTGTATGAAAATTTTAGTAAAATGGCTATTTTTCACTTTAAAATTTAACACAAAACGGTGAGAGAGATTTGGATTAACAGCGGCAATGTGAGGAAAACTGTGGGGTTGGAGGGATGGGTTTGTGTGAGGCCACAGGTTCTTTGATAGCCCATTGTGTGACAAATGCAGGGAGGTGACGGTTGCCTGCTTTCTGCACTCCTCAGACTGAACCTGAATGCTTCTGCCCCAGACAGGGAGGCAGGTTGTCAAAGGGACGTTGACAAACTAAGGTGAACCCACAGGAGCTCACCCAGAATGGCGAAGAGTTTGGAGTCAGATCTTGGAAAAATCTTTAAAGAAAACTAGTTAAGGGGCACCTGGGTGGCTCAGTCGTTACGCGTCTGCCTTCAGCCCAGGTCATGATCCCAGGGCCCTGGGATCGAGCCCCACATCAGGCTCCTTGCTCAGCGGGGAGCCTGCTTCTCCCTCTCCCACTCTCCCTGCTTGTGTTCCCTCTCTCGCTGTATCTCTCTCTGTCAAATAAATAAATAAAATTTAAAAATTAAAAAAAAAAAAACAATTATGTTGCTGAGACTCCGGTATGGGGGAGCAGGCGGAGGTGAACACTGTTGTTAGAAGAGAGGTAGTGAGGGCAGTGCTAGGACCAATGGAAGAGTGAGAGGCAGATTGCCTTTTTTTTTAATGTAAAGAGTTTATATTAAATACCTCTATCAAATAACTTAACATTCACGTTGGAATGATATTCATCAAACGACTACAATGGCAGGATTTTAAGTGATTTTAATTTCTTCTCTGTACTTTTTTGTAAAAGTGTATGCCATTTCTGGTAAACAATAGTCATTAGTCTTTTTTTTTTTTTTTTATCTCTATCAGATATATCTGGCTTTCAAAGCCCCAGTTCAGCTACTGAACTACCTCTACTCTTGCTTATTTTCTCAACTACCACACAAGCAGATTTAGTTCATCCTGAGCTTCATAATTTATGTAAAAACTCAGGTCCAGGGTGCCTGGGTGGCTCAGGCGGTTAAGCATCTGCGTTTGGCTCAGGTCATGATCCTAGGATCCTGGGATGGAGCCCCTCGTGGGGCTCCCTGATTAGCGGGGAGCCTGCTTCTCCCTCTCCCTCTGAGGCTCCCCCTGCTTGTGCTCTCTCACTCTCAAATAAATACAATCTTAAGAAAAAAGAAACTTGGCTCCAAGCTTATCAAAACAAAGGACTCCCCAACCTAGCAAGATGCTCCTTCCTTGATGGCAGTTGAAAGGACAAGCCCCCTTGTCCATTAAAAAAAAAAAAAAAATTCCTTCAAAAGAAATTCTGACAATTAGAGTATCTTCATCTTCTTATACAGTTGTTCTAATTACAGTTATTCAAAAATAGAATGGTCTCAGTTCCAAGTCCCTGAAAGTTTTCCAATAGAACACAAAAGAAAAGCCAGATATTTTAAGAAGGATGCTGGCCCAGGGTAGGCAGTTGGGACTCTATAACCTCTACTTTTTTTCTGACTCTCACATTTTTAGATCTCATTTGTACCTCTCATTGAGGGGTCTAATTATGTGCTGCATTTCACTTCCAAACATTCTCTGGACATCAAGAACCTCTTATATCTAACACTATGGTTTGCATAATGTAGACTCTTCATAACACTAGCAAAACACTTAACAAATTTCTATCACCTGCCAGTCAGCCTTCTAAGCATGTAATGGGAGGAATTAAGTCATGTAATCCTCAATGCAGACCCATGAGATAGGGCTTATTATGATCATTCCTGTGTTGAAAATTTGCCTGATGGATCATGAGGGACAGAGCTGGGATTCGAATCCAGGCAGGCTGTCTCCAGAGTTAGCCTCTTAACCAACCTGACGCCGCCTCTCACTTGACAGAGGTTTGAAATTGCTCCGGTTCTGAATACTGAGATCTATGTGGTATTTTGGCGTGGTTCTAGCCTGCTGGGAGTTTGGTGGGCTGACACAAGAAAGCTGACCTGATTATGGGACCTACCTACCAACAGCCAAGGTATGCCATATGCAATCCACATTTGAAAGCCAAAGGCAGAGGGGCGCCTAGGTGGCTCAGTCGTTAAGCGTCTGCCTTCAGCTCAGGTCATGGTCCCGGGGTCCTGGGATGGAGCCCCACATCGGGCTCCCTGCTCGGAGGGAGGCCTGCTTCTCCCCTCCCACTCCCCCTGCTTGTGTTCCCTCTCTCGCTGTGTGTCTGTCAGGTAAATAAATAAAATCTTTAAAAGAAAGAAGAAAGAAAAGAAAAGGAAAGAAAGGAAGAAAGAAAGAAGAAAGGAAAGAGAAGGAAGGAAGAAAGCAAGCAAGCAAGCCAAAGGCAGAGAGTAGTAGTAGGATAGTTGCATCATGTCCAGAGGGGTACCACAGTGACTGACAGGTGCACACGACTGTGGAATCTTTGTTTGCTGTGGAAAGGTTCTTAAAGGGCAAGCAGCCCACCCATTCAACATTGGTGCCACGTGTGTGATGGGGAACTGGGTGGGTGGAGCTTCTTCCTATCCGGACCCCCTCACTGACCTTGGGTTAGCACTACCTGTCAAGTGGGTCCCTGACTCCCACCTCCTCTCTTCCTGTGGCCTCACCCACCTCTCAAGCATCCTGGCCTCTGCCTTGGGCAACACTAAATTCATCAGTATCTCAACCCTTCATCTTGGTGGTAAACACCTCGGCTGGAATCTTACTTTAGTTCCAATTCAATGAGATTAAATTTCCCCGGAAAGCATTAGGTGTTTTATTCTTACGGTTAATTAATTTTTTTATAGACTTACAACTCCCGCGATTTAATTACAAAATGACTTTCAGGCTGCAAAATTGGCCTCCGCTGCTAAATAGATTCCATAGATTTGTCCTGCAAAGGATAAATAGTTTAAAAATACATGATTATTACTAAAAGTATTGTTATGACCAGTAAATTACCCAAGGTCTCTGACGTAGAGAAAAGGGGGGGTGGCTAAGTGCCTTCTGCAAGCTCTGTTTTATCTTCCAGGCCCTGACCGCTTGGGCCGGGCCCCCCCTGCCCCACAGCCGGACCTCGGCTGGGCGCTCCTGCCCCCTTCCCGGCGGCGTCACGTGGCCGCTGAGCTCACCGTCAACCGCCAGGCTCAGCGGGATGCCAACGATGACTGCTGCCTTTATTGCGATCGTACTCCAGGGAAACCCTGCTGCTGCCCCGCACCCCTCCAGCCCCGCTCAGCAGGACAGCCCGGGAAACCGGCCTCCGTGGGCGGAGGCCCCCGCTCCCGCAGACCGCTGCCCTCGGCAACGGCTCTCCCAGGTCTTCCCGGCTCCAGAAGGAAGGCCCCTCGGCCCAGGGACAGCGCCCGAGCTGCAGCAGTCCCCGGCGGCCGGGGCCAGTCCTCACGCCCCCGCCGCCGCCCCCTCCCCTCGAGCGCCCCGTGCTGGAGCCAGGCTGCCCCGGAAGGATCTGACCGGCCGCTTCCTGCAATTGTCTCTCTGGACGCAGTCCGCGGGCGTCCAGCGCTCCAGTCTCCCGCCCGGAGCCCGGCCTCTCGGGCGTCCCCGCCCACCCGCTCAGTCCCCGGCCGCTCTCCTTCGCCGCCCTGTCCGCAGCCGGCCGCGGGGGAGCGGGCGTGCGTGGTCAGCGGGGCAGCCGCCGGGCCGGGGCGGAGGCGGAGCGGGGTAGCTGCGCTCTCCCTGCCCGCGAGTCAAATCCGAGCGGCCGCCAGGGGTGGGCGGGGAGCCCCGCACAGCAAGAGGAGTCCCCGCACCGGAGGGAGGCCGGCTTGCCCTTTCTCCAGCTCAGACCACCGCGGCCCTGAACGCAGCCCGCCCCACCTCCTGGTCCCACGGGGCGTGCCCTCCAGGAAGAGGCGCAGGGAGGCCGGAGGAGGGGCCTGTCTGCACTTGATGGATGGCACTGAAGAAATGTCTGGCACTTTCTTTCCCCGTGGGGGAGGTGAGGCTGCAGCCACCTCTCCCCCGCATTCATTCGCATTCCTGCCCGCCTGCTCAGGAAGGGCTTGGGGTGGGGGCTGGAGCAGGGCCAGCTGAGAGTCATTTTGCAAACTCTCACGTTTGTCTACACTGGCATGGGTAGTGTAGACAAATCTCAACCAAGGTAAGAGAGGATCCATCCTTCTTTCCTGGCTCCCAGACCTCCCCAACACTGGGCAGTATAGCAGTTCTTAAACTGGTGTGGTCCACAGACCCTGGGAGTCCCCAAGACCCTTTCAGGGGATGGATGAGGTCAAGAGACTTTGTATAAACATACTAATACATGATTTACCTTCATGACTTGACAGGTACATTGATGGTAGGAAAGTAATGGGGGCAAACTGCTGGTGTCTTAGCATAAACCAAGGCAGTGGCACTGAATGAGTCATTGTATTCTTCATTACCACACATCGGCAGTAAAAAAAAAAATTAAAATTAAAAAGCCAGGTTTTGTAAGAAAACTTGATAAAGCAGCAAAAAAATATTAACATGCGATTAGTTTATTATAGTTATTTAAATGAGTTAATAAGGCCTTGTTTTAATTTCTAATATAGTATACATGAATAGATTTAACCCACATAAACAAAAACTCTTTGAGGCCCTCAATAATTCTGAAGGGTGTAAACAGGTCCTTAGACCAGAAGTGTCAGCACTGCTGGGGGAAGTCACAGGCTGTCAGGTAGCTGAAAGGGGGCCGGGGCCTTTTGCAGATACTGCATTCCCAGCTTGAGAAGCATGTCTTACTTGGAGTAGAGGGTGGGGAACATGGCTGTGTTTTCTGGGAACCCGCTCTCCTTCCAGAGACAGTCACTAGAATAAAGATGTTAATGGCCTCTGCTCACCAGAGAAACAAGACATACAGGCTCACAGCCCCTCCAAGCTGCCCCTCTCCCCTGCGCACTGTACCCAGTGTTGAGGGCGGAGGGGGACACAGGTGTGTTTGTGGCCTAGATGTGGACTCCCCTCATCCCCCGGATTCTCTTATAGTCCCTTTTCCTATTGCCTCTAAGGTGGCTCTTCCCCTCCCCAAATTAGTCACAGTTTAGCAAGGTTGAGGGAGTGGGGGGAGAGGATCAGGAGTCCACACCCTAGCCTGGCTTGCGTAGGATGGAGAGTGGGTACACTTGTCTATGTGTGTATGTGCCACTGGGCATGACTGTGTGCTTTGGTCCAGTTCCATGAACTCTCAAGTTCTCCCCAACACCAGTCCTCCTTCAGAGGTCATATCTGGTGTCTCCATTGGGGTTAGCACATTTGAGTTGTTCAAACTACTTCTCCGCTCCTTTGGCAATGGCAGGGCGGCTGTGGGTGAGGCCGAGGTCTGGCACCTCTCTGTTACCTCTGGCACGGGGAAGGGAGGTGTGGAAGGCCAGGAGGGAAGGCAGGTCAACCTCGAGTGCTACTCCCCCGCTCCCCGAGGAGCCAGTAGGTCCGAACTTTGCCTTTGCCCTGGAGGGAAAAAGAAGAGGCAATTGGGGTGGGGAGTAGCACACCTACCCACTTTCCCAAATGAGAGGAGAGGCTTAGGAATGGGAGTGGGGTTGGCTGCTTGAGAAGGGGCCTGGGGGAGCCCCTGGGGCCCCAAGGATGGTGAGGGCAGGGGCTTTCTTCTCTACCTTCATTTCTACATCTCCTCGAAGCTCCAGCTCGAAACCACCAAACTCTTCCAGGACAGCCTTGGTCTCAGAAGACAAGTGGATCTTCAGGGCTGGGAAGGATAAGGCAGAAGAAGGGAAGGTGGGGGATGCAGAAATAGGAGCAGGGGAGATTAGGAACTGCAGGGGTAGAAAAATGCTTTCCTTCCTTTCATTTGGCCTAGAAAGCCTCTTAATTCAGAGTCCCACCCCTCCATGTGGAGTCTGTCCATACCGGCCTCTCCCTTAGAATTCTAGAACTGTATTGTCCAACATGGTAGCCACTAGTCACCTGTGGCTATTTAAATTTAAATTAATTAAAACTAGGGGTGCCTGGGTGGCTTAGTTAGCTAACTGTCCGACTCTTGATTTCAGCTCAGGCCATGATCTCTGGGTCGTGAGTTCAAGCCCCACAATGGGCTCCACACTGGGCATGGAGCCTAATTAAAAAATAATAACAATTGGGGCGGCTGGGTGGCTCAGTCAGTTAAGTAACTGCCTTCGGCTCAGGTCATGATCTTAGGGTCCTGGGATCGAGTCCCGCATCGGGCTCCCCGCTCACTGGGGAGTCTGCTTCTCCCTCTCCCTCTGCCTCTCCTCCTGCTGGTATTCTCCCCTCCCCGCCTTGTGCTCACTTTCCCTCTCTCTCTCAAACAAATAAAATCTTTAAAAAAATAATTAAAACTAAATACAGTTAAAAAATTCAGTGCCTCAGTTGTACTGACCACATTTTTTTTTATTATTTATTTATTTGAGAGAGAGAGAGCAAGAACGAGCGCACGAGCATGGGGAGGGCAGAGAGAATCTCCAACAGACCCCCATCTGAGCATGGAGCCTGACTCGGGTCTTGGATCCTAGGACCCTGAGATCATGACCTGAGCTAAAACCAAGAGTCAGACATTCAGCCAACTAAGCCGCCCAGGCGCCCTGCACCACCACATTTCAAGTGACCAATATTCTCCTGTGACAGAGGCTACTGCAATGGACAGCACAGATTATGGAGTATCTTCCTCATTGCAGAAAATTCCATTGGATAGCATTCTAGAATGTCACCAGGCTTCAGACAGACAGTGCAGGATGGTGGTTAGGGGCTCCGACTTTAGATCTGCTCTGTCTAGTGAATCCAGTTCAGACACTTGTTTGGGGAAGTAGTCTAAACTCTGTGCCTCATTTTCCTAGTCTGTAAAATGCTGATAGTGACAGTTTCCACCCAAGGCCTTGTTATGAGAGTTAAATTTAATGCTCATCAAGTATTTAAATAGAGTCTGGTGCACAGGAAGCACTCTGTAAGTGGTTCTTGTGACTCTTGTTTAACTCAATAGTCATTTTCAGGCTGAGGGAACTGAGGCCTAGGGGAGGAGATGCGCCCCAACCGCGAGGTCAGATCTAGGCTCTGACTCCTGACCTGGTATTCCCCATACTTCTCTCGAACTTGCCCCTGCCACTCCTGGGGTCTGTATCATAGTGGCCTTGTTTTGTTGCTGAACCATTTCTGAGAAGATGCTCCTTGAAGACTGGACCTCAGCGAGGGGCTTTCTCCTACTCTGACTGCTGGAAACACAGTGCCCAGGGAGTATCTGCTGAACCAGAGCCCCTCTGGGCTCCCAAGTAGCCCTTCTCCTGCCATGAGGCTTGGATGGGGTCTGCATAAATCGCCCCCAGTGGGTCTGGGTCATCTTAGTACCCTAAGGCCTAGCACTTAGTAGTCACTCAATGCATGTTTACTGAATTGAATCGCATTGAATATAGCAGGAGGGTAGAAGATCAGCAGGAAGCAAGACTAGGGAACAGGGAGGAGTAAGCATTGACGAAATACCTACTATGTGCAGGGGTTGTGCGAGCTTTTCTACAACCCTGAGACAGGTATCGTTTTATAGATAAACAGCTGAAGCTCAGGAAAGTTGAGTGACAATTATGTCCTGGTCACGTTATATGGCTTTCACACATAACTCTTCTAAGGTCCGTATCTTATTCTCATCTTACAGATGAGGAAAACGGAGGCTTGAGGCCAATTGACACACAGCTGTGTGGGCTGTGGGTCTAGATTCACACCTAAATGGGCTGCCTGAAGCCCTCTACCACATGTAAGAGGGAGCAGAGGGGCCCGAAGGATAGGCTTCCCTTGGGGAACTGTTGAACATTGGCCTGGAAAGACTTTCAACCGTTTGGAGGAGGGGGCCCGGATCTCTGACTGGATTGGAGATGATGTGCCCACGCTGACGTGGAGCCTGGGAGGAGAAAGGGCTGGGTGCCAATACACTGGGAGGGGTGCCTGCCTGAGGGGCTTTCCTCGCTCCAGCTGCACCGCCCTCTCCAGCCGGTCCGGGCAGCCACCTTACCTTCTCCATTAGACTCCATTCTGGAAGCGGTGTTGACTGTGTCTCCGAAGAGACAGTAACGGGGCATCTTCAGCCCTACCACACCGGCACACACGGGTCCTGCAGGGAGTGGAGGCCCATCAGTGCCAGGGTGGCAGAGGTGTTAAGAATGGCAGGTGGGAGGAATGGATGGGGACTGCTGGGCAGGACTCCTGGAGAGTCAAGAGGTGGGAGCCGAGGCCCCTGGGAATCCAGGTGTGCATGTGTGTGATGGGTGGTGGAGGGGAGCTGGGCCTGGGGATACGTCTCTAGCCCTTGGGAACAGCCAGGCCCGGGGACAGTCCAGCCTTGGGGGCTCCCTCACCTGTGTGGATGCCGATTCGCAGGCGCAGCTCCTCCTGGGGCCGATGGCGGATGCGGAAGGAGCGCACTGCGTCCAGCAGCGCCAGGGCCATGCGGGCCACCTCCCGGGCATGCAGCAGCCCGTTCCGCACGGGGAGCCCGGACACCACCATGTAGGCGTCACCAATGGTCTCCACCTGTGGGGCCCGCCAGAGGACGCAGGGTATGAGCCCTGGGAGTGTCTCTTCCCTGTGCTGCCCCCACACTCTGTGCACCGTCTTTGGTCCAGCGCCCCATCCCCTGCGTCCCTGCCCTGCCTGTTCCTGGGGCTCCAGGTAACAGTCTCTGCCCATGTCTCATGGTCTCCTCTCTCAACACTCTGCGCTTCCCCTTCTCTGACCCGCGCATCACCACCTGTCCACGTCCGTCCCCACGCCCACCCTCACCTTGTACACATCGAAGTTGTCTATGACGGCATCAAAGCAAGTGTACAGATCATTGAGCAGGGTCACCACCTGGAAGGGACGAGAAGCCAAGGGTGGGAGGCAGGAAGGGCCCCACCTGGGATCGAGTGGGAACAGGGACCCGCAGGCAGGCCCGATAGGGTGGAGATGCAGGCCAAGCACACCGGCCTGGCTTCACCTGGACTCACCTGCATGGGGGTGCTCTCTGCTGACAAGGCTGTGAAGCCCACGATGTCACTGAAGTAGATAGTGACACTGTCGAAGGCTTCAGCCTGGACCGTCTCCCCACGCTTCAGCTGCTCGGCCACTGAGCTGTGGGGTCAGGGACAGGTGCAGGATCAGAGCATGAGGTGGGGCCAGGAGGGGGTGGCCGGGCGACACCAGACACGGGCACTCACTGAGGCAGAATCTGGTAGAGCAGGGCCTCGGCTTTGCGTCTCTCCTCCAGGTAGGCCTGGGTCCGCTCCTCTACCAACCCCTCCAGATTGTTGGCATACTGCTCCATGCGGGACAGCAGGTTGTCCAGGATGTTGCTGCTACTCTCCCTGAGGACCGGGGGTGGGGGGTGGGGGTGGCGGTGGGCAGGGGTCAGTGAGAGCGGGGTAGCCGGCAGTACCTGGAAGTGCCCACCCTGGCACTCACCCTTCCCAGGCTTCATGTGAGCCCATCCCCTAACTACAGTGGGGTCCCTGGAGAGGGTTGGGGTTGGGGAGCATGGCAGGATGGCTGGGTGTGGCAGGGGAAAGCGTAGGAGGAAAGTTCCATTCATCTCTGAGACCCCAGAGTCAGGCCCCAAGCTGGAGAGATATTGGCTACTTTGTTCATCTTTGTTGTTGAACACAAGCAAGTTAGAAGGAGGTAGAGGAGGTGGAGATGGACAGGGGTCAAGCGAGGACGGAGTGTGGGCACACGGGCAGGCAAAGGGGTGTGTGGAGGGGTGGTTGGGGCAAACTGCGGCAGGGACGTCCAAGGGCTGGGGTGAGAGCCCCTGTGGAGGGTTGGGAGGCAGGGAGCTCCACTGGTTCTGCACCACTTCAGAGGAGGGGCTGGTGGGGGGGCAATGCTGGTGGGGGGAGGGGTCTGAGAGGTGGGGGAACGATGGGACAGCTGGGTTATGCAGCACTCACAAAAGCGGGCTGTGAGGCTGTGGTGGGCTGGAGCGGGCTCTCTGCCACTGCCAGGAGAAGACTTAAGTGTGGGGCACAGGGTGGCTGTGGGGGGTGGGGGGCTGGGAGGTACATCCGCCACCTGTTGAACTTGCGCAGCATCAGGCGAATCTGCTGGAAGGGCGGCCGCTCCTGCGGCTCCTCGGCCCAGCACCGCTGCATCAGCTGCCCCAGCTCCTCCAGGTGGCTCTGCAGGGCCAGGGAGGGCCGGAAGGGGGGCTGTGCCCCCCGAGTCACACGCTCCACGATCTCTGTGTGGGGGAAGAGGGGCTGAGGGGAGGGGCCCGCCAAGGGCCAGGGAGAGATGGTGGGGAGGTCCAGGGCCAGGCTGGTGTGGTTGAGCCACGTGCCAAGGGGCAGGTGTGGTGGTGTTTCCAGGGCTCCCTCACCCTGGGGCTGGGTGTAGTTGCAATTGTGGCAGGGCTAGGGGACAACATGGTTCTCTCACCTTTGGGGCTGAGGTCCAAACCTTCCACGTGGAAGACACCGCGCCTTAGGGCAATCTCCTGAAGGATGATCCCAAAGCTGTACACGTCACCTGCCTGGGAGCCCCGGGCAGGGGGTGAGGCCATTCGCAGGAGCTCAGGGGCTGTCCACAGCTTTTCTGCAGGTCAGAGGTCAGGAGTCATGGGGCGAAGGGCCCTAAAATTAAGGGGTGGGGGGAAACAAGGTCCTAGAAGATGTGGCTGGAGAGATCTGGAGCCACCAAACCGAGTGCTACGGAAGAAGCCTCGAGACCACTGTGTCAGGCTCCCCTTTCCACTGGAGAATGAACTGAACCAGGAATCAGGAAAGCCGTGCCAAGCCCTTGAGAAGCCAAGCATCAGTCCCTCTGCGGGGCTGTGCTAGGGAGGAGGGGCGTCTTAGGAGTCAGAGTTAGGGCTCACTGGCATAGAGTGTGTGGCCTTGCTCTGGTTCCGGGTCCCTGAAGCTTTCCAGGCCAAAGTCGGTGATCTTGAGCACAAAGCGCCCGTCTACTACGCAGTTGGATGATTTGAGGTTGCCATGGGAGCAAATGGCCCCGTTGTGTAGGAACAGCATACCCTGGGAAATTTGGGGAGGCAGAGGTCTTGGTTTCAGTGGGACCTACAATCAGGGCTGGGGAGAAGCATGCCTGGCCCCTCCCCCACATATCCCACCTTGACAATGTCATTGGTGAGAGAGTACCGGAACATCCAGTCTAAGGTGATGCTCTCATTCTCCAGAATGTCCTGCTGGGCAATGAGAGTCAGGCATGTACACTAGGGACTCCAGGGGGGTTGCAGAGGCCTACTGACATAAACCGGCATGACAGGACAAAGCCTTGGATTTACTCTAGTGCATTTGCCCCCCTCCCCCATTCTATAGATGGGGCAAATAAAGGTCAGAATGAGGGAGAAGCTTGCCTGGGGTCATATGGCCAGTGGGGGACAGAAGCAGGACTAGACCCAGATCTCCCAAGACCCCTTGTCCCCTCACCTGCAAGCTCCCACGGGGACAGTACTCTGTGAGGATACAGATGTTGGGGGGGTCAGTGCAGGCACCTACAAACCTGGTCAGGTGTTCATTCTGTACATCCCGCATCTGTAGGTGGGGGCCAGTATCAGGAACCTGACAGAGACCTCACTCCTCACCAAGTGCCCCCCCCAGGGACCCCTGTCTTCTTAATGCCCTATTCACTCTGCAGACGGTCTAAGACCCTGATGATTCCCACCCGTGTTCTAAAGAACCCTCCCCCAGAATCTGCTCCCTGCTCACTCTGCCTCCTAATCCCTCCATCCCCCAGGGGCATCCAATACAGCCCCTCCAGGACTCCCCCCACCCCCAGGATACCTCCACTAGTCTCTTCTCCCATTTAGGACCTTCTCTCCCACATACAATATGCGAGGGTCCATCCCTTCCCTGGGATACCCTGTAGTCCTCCCATAACCTTCCCATGTCCCTGGGACTCTCCCCCAGGCTACTGCCTCACTCCCCCACATTACATGCTTCAGTTCAAACAGGACTTTTCGTGTCAGCTCAATGCGCTTACGATTCACACGTTTCACAGCCACAAGGTTGCCCTGAGCAAGGAATGGAGGATGTCACTGAGATGGCCCAGTGGTGGGGACTCCAATTGCTCCTGCAGGCAACTCCAGGACCGCCCTGTGCCCCGCACCCCACCCCAGAGCCCTGCCCAGCTCCAAGGATGGCAGTCTTTCCCCGGCGCACCTTATAATATGCTGTCTTGGCAAACACTTGGAACTGGCCCTCTGTGGTTAGCAGGGAGCCATAATTGGAGCCTCTCTGGAGGGATGGAGAGCAGGAGGGGTGGTCAGCCCACTCTGTCCCGGTGGCCGGAGCTCTGGCCCGCCTTATCTCTGTCGTCCTGCTTCTCATTCCACATCATAAAATCCTTTTCTTTTTTTTAAACATTTAAATATTTTTATTTCAAAGATTTTATTTATTTATTTCACAGAGAGAGTGAAAGAGCACAAGCAGGGGGAGCAGGAGAAGGAGGGGGAGAAGGAGGCTCCCTGCTCAGCAGGGAGCCCGACGCGGGGCTCGATCCCAGGACCCCGGGATCATGACCTGAGCCCAAGGCAGACACTTAACGAACTGAGCCACCCAGGTGCCCCTATTTATTTCTTTTTTAAATGTATTTCCACATATACTGTTTCTGAACTTTGAAAGCCGCCTGTGAAGGAGGCTCTGTGGGCATAATCTACCTGAGGTAGTCCCAGAGGGGCAATGGGACTCACCCCAGGTCACACAGCAAGTGAAGGCAGAGTGGGAACCAGAACCTTGCCCTCTACCCTAGTAACCAGGCACTGGCCCCGACCCCACACCCAGCTGTCCCCCACTCTTCCCCTTACAAGTGTTCTTACCCCACTCAGGGTCAGCCGGCTGCCTGCACTCCGGAGGTGCCTCTCAAGGCTACTGGGCTGCACGTCCTCCCAGCGCACCCGCCACAGTTCTGAGGCCAGTTCCTTCTCCAGCTGCATCTTCCTGGGGCATGAAACCTCCATCTGAACCCGTGTCTGAACCCCTGACCCCGGGCTGGGCAGCTTAGCAGCCCCTCCTCTGAACCCTGGGACCACCGCAGGTGCCGACAGGTGGACGGGGGAGTCAGGCGGTGTGGGTGAAGTCCTGCCTGCCTCACGGGGACCTTGGGCAGTCACTTCATGTCTCTGAGCCTCATGTCCTCATGTCCCAGTGTCCTGATTTGGGGACTGGCGACCTCGACATTTATTTCAAAGCATTGTTGTAAGAAGGAAAAGAAACAGTGCGTGGCAGTGCCTGGCGCATAGTCTAGGCTCAACCAGCACTGATCTTCTCCTTCCCCTCCTTGCATCCCTCTGATGTTAATGTCTGACTTTCATTTCGGCCTCCCACTGGAAGGCGGGAGTGGGGCTCTCTTACCTCCCTCCTCCACTCTGGGCTCAGCACCCAGTATAAAGCAGTGTTCATCACCCCTAGTCAACTGACTGGGCCCAGGGCCACAGGGTTTGAACCATCATTCCCCATCAGGTCTGCTCGAGTCGGAAGGGAGGAGACACCAGCCCCTAGGCCAGAACCCACATGCCTGTGACGCCCAACTGCTCTGCTCAACTGCTCTGCTCTTCTCAGGGCTCCCAGACCCTTCCTGGCCCTCCTTCTCTCCTCCCTGTGTCCTAAGGCTTTTTAGTCTCCCTCCTTCCCCATCTCCTGCAGCTTTCCTCCACTGTCCCTCCACCCGTCCCACTTCCCTCCAGGTCCCTGCTGCTTCCTTTGCTAGTTCTCCAGGCCTCCCAGCCTCACTCCCCACCCTCATTCCAAGACTCACCTGCATATGAAGAAGGAGGCAGTCAGAATGCTGAGCAGGGAGAGGCTCCCCACCAAAGCCAGCACTTCCAGGGAAGAAAAGTGATCTGCACAAGAGTCCAAGTTCCAGCAAGAGAGATTTGGTTAGACAGCAGGAGGAGGAAACTTCTCATAGTTAATCAGTGAACTAGGAAGATGGATGAAGGGAGGAAAAAGGCAGGAGGAGTCTCTCCAGAAAACCCTCAGTGTGGGAGAGGAGCACCTAGTAGACTCCTGAGGTGGGGAAAAGAGAGAATGTCTCCAGAATGGAGGCCTGGAAGGCGAGAGGCAGTCACCTTGGTTGCAAGCTGGGTCCTCGTTGTCAAAGCCGCATTTGGGGATGTCAGGAGGTGGGTACCCCAGGGGCCAGTTCAGTTTGCACCCTGGCATGGCCACCAGCTCCTGGGAAGTGCCATTGTAGTTCAGAACAACCTATGGGAGGGCAGGAGTGGTGGGCGGGAAAGGCCTGGGTGACGCCTCCTGTCCGGGAGCAGGGCTGCCTCCCACCCACCCCATGTCTGCTCCCAGGGCCTGTATCTGGGCTGCTGTCAACAATTTAGCAAGCCCCTGCTGTGACCAGATGCAGAGGGCCCTCATATGCATGCCATTAGAGTGGAAAAACTTGGCTTTATAAAGAGAACTCCATGTAGAACCCCAACCTGACATTCAGGGAGTTTATAATCTTGGACTGAAGCACATACAAAACAGGAAAAGACAATGTTCTCAGTCCACATTCCCAGGCCCAATCCATGTATCTCTTCTCCAGGAAGTCTTCCCCTAATGATCTGCTCCTTAGTGCTTGTGGCCCCAATTCCTTCCTGTTCCCGACTGAACTTAAAGAGCTGCACGGCCCCCAAGTTAGCCTGTCTCTGCCGAGAGAGGGTCCTGCCTATCTTAGGAGACACGGGACTTCCTGAGGGTAGGGCTGTGCTCTCTTCTCAGACATGGGGTTCCTCAAGGGTCCCCGTCATTCTGGTTGCTCCCCCAGACCAGAGCTGGGTCTCTTTTATCCCTGGATTCTCTTATCCCTCTCCAAAGGTGACCAAGCATGGTAGGGGTGACTACAGAGCAGAGATGCCCTGGCAGGGCTGTGGGGGAAGGCCGAAGGACAAGATGTCATTGACAGTTGGCACTGTCTCCTGGGGGCACAACCTTACCCTGAAAGTGCCAGTCTCAGGATGCATATCCCAGAGGGAGAAGTCAGTCTCCCGATCTCCATTGCTGTCCATTTTCAGGTATCCTGTCACACCTGGGGCATGGAGGAAGATGGCTATATTTTGAGAAAGTGGAAGTTCAGCACTTCCCCCTACCTTATCTCTATCCCCATCTTATCTCCATCCCTTGATCTTCTTTGCCTTGCCCTCCAAACATATCTAATAGTAACAAAGTATTAATAACATATATAATAACAAAAGGGACATACATTTCAGCAGTAGGAATGATTGAAGCTGGGGACTTAGGAAGACTTTTTTTTTAAGATTTTATTTATTTATTTGAGAGAGAGAAAGTGAGACAGAGCATGAGCAGAGCGGGGAGGGGCAGAGGAAGAGGGAGAAGCAGACTCCCCACTGAGCAGGGAGCCTTAGGCAGCCCCTGGGATCATGACCTGGTAACTGACTGAGCCACCCAGGCGCCCCACTTAGGAGGACTTCTTGAGGGAGCTAGGGAAATGGGGAAGGAGGCCCTAGGGAAGCTGGGGAGCTTCCCTATATAAGAGAGGAAAGGACAGGCATGGGTGAGTGACCCCCTCAGCGGCTAGCCAGAGGCTTCTCATGGCCTCCTGCTTGGGGCACCCCATGGTAGCCTATCTCTGTCACCTCCAGCCCTGACCTTGGAAGCTTCGGTTCCACATCCGCTGAGTGATGGCCTCCCCATCCGTGACAGTTCCCCCACGTGCCAGAGTCTCTGTCACTGCTTGTACATAGAGCAGGAGCCCATCGTGGAAGGATGCTGGGATGGTGTTCACCTGCAGGAGTGAGCAGAGCTTGGCTGGGGTGGGATATATGAGGGGTGGTGAGTGGGGCATTGTGGAGGAGGAAATGGAGGGCACCGGAGCTTGGAGGAGGGTGGGAGAAAACACCCCCACAGGACAGAGATTTTTCTACTTATAAGATGCCTCCACAAATACCTCTGCTTCTGAATCCTGCCAGGCAGATAGGGCAGGACACGTCGTCCTCATTTTACTGATGAGGACTTGAGTTTCAGAGGCTGAACAACTTGTCAATGTCCCCCTTGGTCATCAGAAGGGGAAGCATGGGAGGCCTGGGCATCCAGAGATGGCTAAGATGACAGGCTGGCCACCGGCAGAGGCCATGGAGTGGGGTGGGGGTGGGGGCTGGATGTCCATTCTGGAAGGTCCCAGGACCCACCCTACCAGGCCATCCTCCATGGTGAAGTTGAACTGCTCATGGGCCAAGTGTTTTAGCTGCTGCAGGAATTCCAAGTACTCAGGATTATCCGGCTCTTTATATGTAATGATTTTGGCAGCCTGAGGAAGGGGTCAGTGGAGAGGGGAGAGCTGGGAGCTGATCCAGTCCTCCCAGTACCCTGGGGCCCACCTCCCCCAGTGCATCTCTGCCGAGCTCAAGGTCAAAGTGGATGGGCTCTATGTCATGTATCAGGTGCTGCCTGCTCCAAAGCAGGGGACCCAGTGGGATGACTTCTCAAGTTCTATTAGTCTGTGGTATTGGAATACCCTCCCACCTCAAGCCCATTCGCTCATCTTTTTGGCCTCCTAGCTCTGAAGTCTCCTAGTCCTCTATACACACCTCACCCCTCCTTCCCATCCTCACCTGCTTCCCTGAGCATCAAAAGCCTCTTTTTTGGAATCCATTCAGACCCTGAGGAACCGAGTGCCCAGAAACTAGGTGCCACCAGCTCAGAGTCCCACAGCCTGGGCTTATAGCCTAGACACTTACCTGAAAGGCCTGGTGGGCACTAATATCCTGCCCATCTCCTCTCTCCCAGGGCCTGTGGGGAGCAAGGCCATGTGCACCTTGCAGGCTTTGTCCAAAGAGGTCCAGGTGGAAGAACACATAGTCCTCCCCACTTAGACCAGCTTCCATGGCCAAAAGCATCAGAGTTCTGAAGGCATCTGGGGAGCTGCATATGTAGATAACTGGGGAGGAAGAGGGGATGGTCAGAAAGAGAGAGAAGCCTAGCTCTTGGCGGAGTGGGAAGGAAGTTCCCAGACTCTACCCTGATCTAGGCCGCGGCCCAAGAAAGGTGGAGAGGGCTGGGAGGAGTCGGTGGGCCGGGGTGGTGGAAGGAGCAGGGACCCGGAGAGCAGGGGAAGCGGCGCCAAAGGTGGGGAAGGTGGGGTCAGCCTCGGAGGGAGAGGAGGGGGCGGGCCAGCTGGAGAAGGGACTGGAAGGGGAGAGGGAGTGTGGAGGAGAAGATGGAGGGGGAGAGGCTGCTGGGAGGCGACCGAAAATGGAGGAGAAAAGAAGGGCTGGGCATTACGCCGGGGGCCTACTAAGTGTCAGGTGACGGCAGGCATTTTCTGCCGGAGGGAGCGGTGGGACGCAGGTGGGGGAGTCCGGGAGCGCGGGACCGTGGAGACAGCGGGCAGAGGGAGGCAGGGGGCCGAGGCTGGCTGGGGAATGGGGAGCGCGGGACCGTGGACACAGCCGGCAGAGGGAGGCAGGGAAATGGAGCCTTGGGCCGAGGCTGGCTGGGGAATGGGGAGCCGCGCGCGCCGCGGGAAGACCGGCCCGGGCGCCCCCTCACCTCGGCCTTTGCGCCTCACGGTCCGCAGCAGCAGGGCGTAGTGGTCGAGGTCGCCCTCGGCGAACTCCAGGTGGTCCACCGTGATGTTGAGGCGGTCCCGCACGCGCATGTACAGCCCCTCCACCACGAAGAAGCAGGGCTGGTCGTCGCCGGGCCGGTAGGCGTAGAGCACCAGCGCCTGGCGCTCCCAGCCCAGCCGTCGGTGCAGCGCCGCCACCAAGTCGCCCAGCTTGGCGTGGCTGGGCCCGGCGCGGGTGGTCAGCGCGTACTCGTCCTTGGCGCCGAAGCCCAGCGCCGGGGCGCCGGCGGTCAGCAGCGGCACCCGCCAGTGCGCCGTGAAGCGCCCCACCGGGGCGGCGGCGTACACGCAGCCGGGGCCGAGGAACACGGCGGGGCTGTGCTCCCACTTGAGGTCCACCGCGGCCAGGGGCGCGGCGGTGTCGGAGCAGACGCCCAGCGCGTTCTCGCTGCTGCCCAGCACCGTGCGCACCGTCCAGCCCGGCAGCAAGTCGGGCCGCGCTCTCACCCCGGCCAGGGCCAGCTCCACGGCCGGCCCCACGCGCGCCCACGACCACGGGTACGAGGTGTTGGCCAGCGGCAGCACCACGGCCACGGTCAGGTTGCCCGCGTGGCCGCCTGGGAGCAGCGGCAGCAGGAGCAGGAGCGGGAGGGCGCCCGCGGGGCGGCCGGGGCGCAGCACGGCTTCAGCCGGCCGCTCGGCGGGCGAGCGCTCGCACCCTGGCCTCTGCGGCCCCCTCCGCGGCCCGGTCGCGGGCATCGGGCGCGCCCACCCCAGGGCACGCTGCCCCCTCCAGCTGCGTCGCTCGGTGTCGGCCGCGCGAGGGGCGCGTGGCGGGCGCCGCGGGGCAGGTGGGCGCTGGCAGCGGGGCGCGGGGGCTCGGGGGACGAGCGTGGGCGACAGCGCGAGGGTGCGTGTGTTAGGAGCAAGCATTCGGGGGAGAAGGGTGGGAGAGGGCGCGAGGGAGGGAAGGGGAGTGGAGCGTTTGTGTGCGCGCGTGAGCGGCTGCCCCGGGAGGGTGTCAGCGGGGGCGTCCGGCCGGCCCAAGTCCCCGGCCGTCCGGGGGGGACAGGGGAGGTCCTGAGCCCAGCTCCGAGTCCTTCCTCCCGCCGCTTCCCCTCCCAGACGCGGCGACTGGAGAGCCAACCCGGGATCTTTAACTCCTTCGTCCCCGCCCCGAAGTTGCGGACGTGCCCGCGCCCCGAGCCCGCGCGCTTTCCCCTGAGACCCTCCACGCCGTCCTCCTCCGAGAGCGGCGCCCTCAGAAGGGGCTTCCTCGCTGGGGTCGGAAGCAGGACCGAGGGGAGACTCGTGTGGGGGCCGCGGGGGCCCATTTGCGCCCCACCTCGTCCCTCCCCCTACCTGGTTCCGTTTGGGGAAGAGGGCTGTGCTGGTTTGGGATCTTGGCAAGAAAAGGTGTGAGTGTACGGAAGTGTGTGTGTCTGGGGTGGACGGGAGGGTGGCGGGTTTCTGGAAGGGCGTTAAAGTAGGTGAGCCCAGGGTGCCCGTGACTCAGTACATCCAGGACCGCCCCCGCCCCCCCAGCTTCCAGATAGAGCAGATTGACGGAGAGCACGGACCCAGGGGAAGGGCGGAGTTAACCCTTTAGTTCCCAAATGGTTATAGGAAGGGGGAGAAGAACGTGCGGTGGCTGGAGTGGGGAGGAGGAGAGTGGTGACCTCGGGGCCGCTCCCGGAAGGCGAGTGTGAGTTTGTTTGAGGGGGATTGTTAAAATGGGATTTGCGGTGACGGTGGGAGGCGGTGTTGGAAATGACCGGTGGAGGCGTCCCCTGGGGAGAGGGTTGGGGGTCCCCCCGCTGTGGCATCAGTCTGCCCTCTCGCGGCCAGCAGGGGTCACTGACGCAGCTGCAATCGCAGACCCTCTCCGATCCTGTGCCTGGACTGAGCCCAACACCTGCAAACTTGCCCTCAGCAAACCGACTTGAAGCGCCGGCTAAATGCTGAGGGTATGAAGGTAAATATATGTATAGTCGTGCCTTGGAGGAGCTCTGCTTGGGACAAATAGCCATAATGTAATCTGATTGAGGACCACAACAGAGAGATGGATAAATTGCTAAGAGGCCCAGATAGGACTTCTGCTTGCTTTGGGGGCCAGGAAAATCTCCAAAGAGAAATAATTCAGCAAGAGTAGAATGATGAGCAAGGTATTCTGTGCAGAAAGAGCAGAATACTGAAGTATATTTCCTGTATGAGGAATTTTGGGGGAATTTTAGGACCATTTTTTCTTATGGTCTAGAACAAATAGTAGCCGTTGGACCAACTACAGATGGCCGGAATGCTTTGTTTGGCCTGCACTCTCTTTCTCTATATTTGACTTAATTGCCTACACTTAAAAATCAGCAGATGAGGGGCACCAGGCTGGCTCAGTCAGCGGAGGGTGGGACTCTTTCTTTCTTTCTTTCTTTCTTTCTTTCTTTCTTTCTTTCTTTCTTTCTTTCTTTCTTTCTTTCTTTCTTTTTCTTTCTTTTTCTTTCTTTCCTTCTTTCTTTCCTTCTTTCTTTCTTTCTTTCTTTCTTTCTTTTTCTTTCTTTCCTTCTTTCTTTCTTTCTTCCTTCCTTCCTTCCTTTCTTCCTTTCTTTCTTTCTTTCTTTCTTTCTTTCTTTCTTTCTTTCTTTCTTTCTTTCTTTCTTTCTTTCTATTTTTAAAGATTTATTTATTTAATAGAGAGAGAGACCGAGAAAGAAAACGGGGCGGGGAGGGGCAGAGGGAGAGAGAGAACCTCAAGTAGATTCCCCACTGAGCACAGAGTCCCTCACAAGGCTCAACCCCAGGACTCCCAGATCATGACCTGAGCTGAAATCAAGAGTCCATGCTCAACCAACTGAGCCACCCAGCCACCCCGGGTGGGACTCTTGATCTCTGTGTCCTGAGTTCAAGCCCCAAATTGGGCATAGAGCTCACTTAAAAAAAAAAAGTAAAAAAAAAAAAAAATTAGTAGATGACACATAAATATTTGGATTTCTGACTTGTCTTGAAATATTAGAAAGCTGGCAATAGCTAAGTCCTGCATCCCTTCCTTGAGCTGAGTCTAGTTCATCACAGTTCTTATCCATCCTGTTCACTCATCTGCTTTACCTGCCTGGCTGCTGTAGGAGTTTATATTTTGAATCCTGATCCATGATGTAAGGTGTGTGCTTGTAGGAATGACTGAGGAGAAGGGCGCCTGGGTGCCTTCAGCTCAGGTCATGACCCCAAGGTCCTGGGATCAAGCTCCCTGTCGCCTGCTTCTCCCTCTCCCTCTGCCTGTGGTTCCCCCTGCTTGTGCTCTCTCTCTCTCTGACAAATAAACAAAAATCATTAAAAAAAAAAAAGGAATGACTGAGGAGAGGCAAGAGAGGGCAGCAGAGGGCAGGTCATGCAAGGTTTTGTGTGATAGGCATAATGTTCGTCCTGTATGGGGTGGTCCAGAGGCTAATACAGATAGATAGGAAATTGGGAAACTTTTTTGAGGGGAGGGACTTAAAAAAAACTAGTTTTATTGAGATATAATTGATACGGCATTTTGGAGGCCAAAAAGATGATACGGCATAAACTGTACATATTTAATGTATACAACTGATGAGTTTGGACAGCCTTCTGTCCTTTCGTGTGTGTGTGTGTGTGTGTGTATTAAGAACAGTTAACATGAGGGGCGCCTGGGTGGCTCAGTTGGTTAAGTGACTGCCTTCGGCTCAGGTCATGATCCTGGAGTCCCGGGATCGAGTCCTGCATCGGGCTCCCTGCTCGGCAGGGAGTCTGCTTCTCCCTCTGACCCTCCTCCCTCTCATTCTCTCTGTCTCAAATAAATAAATAAAATCTTTAAAAAAAAAAAAAAAAAACAGTTAACATGAGATCTACCCTCTTAAAATTTTTTTTAATGCCCCCTTTATTTTTTTAAGTAAACTATCCCCAACTTGGAGCTGAAACTCACGTCCCCAAGACCAAGAGTCTCATGTGCTACCAACTGAGCCAGCCAGGTGCCCCTCTTTTTTTTTTTTTTTTTTAAGATTTTACTTATTTATTTGAGAGAGTGAGTAAGCAAGAGAGAGAGAGAAAGAGAATGAACAAGGGGAAGGGCAGAGGGAGAAGCAGGCTCCCCGCTGAGCAGGAGCCCAATGCCGCCTAGATCCCAGGACCCCAGGATCATGACCTGAGCTGAAGAAACCGACTGAGCCACCCAGGCGCACCCCGCTCTTAACAACTTTTAAGTGCATAACATTGTTGACTACAGAGAGATGTTTTATAAGTAGAATCAATTGGACTTCAAGAAGAGAAGACAATATACAAATGACTGAAGTTTAGGTGACATTGACCCATTTGCTGAAGAGCTAAAGAAACAGGTTTTGAGTGTGTGTGGGGGGGTGATAACAATTTTAGTTTGTTGGGTGTGAGGTGCCTGTAGAGCCCCAAGTGGAGGTGTTCAGTGTGCCATTGGATTAGTGGAGTGGAGCTCAGGAGAAATGACTACACCTAAAACCTAATTTAGTAATTGAGCCCCTCTTTCAACAATGGTGGACTGAACAATTTGCCTGAGCTGAAGATGACTAAAAATGTTGGATGAAATACTTTAAAAACTCAAAGCACTAATAAGACACTGAGGAATTATTGGTGTTGAGAACATGAAAGACAGGAAAGCATAGAGGTGAGACCAGCAGTAGGACTGCTTTTACCCTGGGGTCTTTTGCAGATGAGAACTGGAGGCAGAAAATGGGCTGTGTGGGGCAAATGAGACAAATTATAGTCCAAATGTCCCCAAAGGTGAGAAACCTGGCAAACCCATCTTCTGCTTTGGGGTTAGGATCCTGAAAGCTGTACTCCTGGGGGAAACCTTGGAGTCCAGTAAATCAGAAATAAATAGAAAATTCACACCCCAAAATATTAAAAAACCCAAATTAAGAATTAATAGGTTTAAGAGTAAGTCAGACTCAAGAGCAAGTAATGCAATGGAAGAAAGAATGAAGAAACTACCCAGAATGAAGCACGGATTAAACGAGACAAGAGGGATACTGTGAAAAAATCTGACATACCTTTATTCAGAGCCCAGGAAGTAGGGGGAATAAAGCCCCACAGATTCAAGAAGTTCAACAAACCTCAAGTAAGATTTAAAAAGTCCGTATTTTGACCCATCAAGATGAAATAGCAGGAAATTAAATCAAAGGCAAAATCTTTAAAATAGAAAAAAAAGAGGATTGATTACCTTCAAAAGAACAACCATTAGGTTGGCAAAAAAAATTTTTTTTTCACAGCAAAAATGGAAGCCAAAGATAGTAAAATAATATAGTAAATGTGCTGAAGGAAAATAACTTCCAAGCTAGAGTTTCTTATCCAGAGAAAATGTCCTTCAGAAACAAAGGTGAAAGGGGCACCTGGCTGGCTCAGTCGGTGGAGCCCTGATTCTTGATCTCAGGCTCGTGAGTTTGAGCCCCACTTTGGGCATAGAGCTTACTTTCAAAAAGGAAGAAAGAAAGAAAATATATACAGAATTTAAATAATGTACACATCTACATCTACCAAGAGAAACAGATGCATCTGGCCACACAAATCTTGTACAAAAATAAAGCAGCTGAATAAAGCAGCTTTATTCAAAATGGCTCCAAAGTGTTAACAACCCAAATGTGTACCTGTGTGTCCCAGCCAGTTGGAGAATGGCTGAACAGGAAAGTCGATATATTTATGTAAGGGAATGCTGCTCATAAATAAAGATCAACAAATTGCTGATAAATGCAAAAACGTGGAAGAATCTTGAAACGTATCAAGCGAGAGAAACTAGACAAATAAAGAGCACATAACCTGGGTGGCTCAGTCGTTAAGTGTCTGCCTTCGGCGGCTCAGGTCATGGTCCCAGGGTCCCGGCATCGAGTCCCGCATCGGGCTCCCTGCTCGGTGGGGAGCCTGCTTCTCCCTCTCCCACTCCCCCTGCTTGTGTTCCTGCTCTGGCTATCTCTCTGTTAAATAGATTTAAAAAAAAGAGAGAGAGAGTACATACAGTGTGAGTCCATTTATGTGAAGTTCAAGAACAGACAAACCTAACCTATGCTCATAGAAATCACAATCTTGATTGCCTCTAGGGGCCGCCGGGTAAAGGGTCAAGAGCAAACTTTCTGAGGTGATAAAAATGTTCTTCGTCTTGGGTGATGGTTACATGGACGGAATACATTACTCAAAATTAATCGAGATGAAAGCTTAAGATCTGTGCATTTTGCTGTAATGAATTATACTAAAGTCCTTAAAAGAATTACACAACAGCAATAGCATATAATGGGGGGGTGATAGTGGTAAACAATTAAATTATCCCTGCATTTTTTCACCAGGAGGGCAAAAGTATTGCACACAATTAGACCTTGCTAAGTCAAGGATGCATGTTGTAATTTTTATTTGAATCAACTGATTGACTGATTGATGCAAAAAGGTGATTTTATTAAAGCATGGGGACAGGACCCGTGGGCAAAAAGAGCTGCTGCCGCATGTTGTCATTTTTAGAGTACACTAAAAGAGTAGGAAAAGTGCCTAACCTCCAATTAACAAAGGCGGGGAAGGAAATAAACATAATCAGCGCAAAAGTAGGCGAGAAGCCCGAGAAAAAATGACTGGGGGAGGGGGACAGAAGCAGCGACCCGGGTGG